TTCCTCTTTCTAAAAGAAGTTTGTATAAAAAAATTTCTAAATATACAGAAGTCTCACTTCTCTTTCTTAATATGATTAAGAACAACATTTTGCTTCACTTATATTAGTCACTCAAAATACTTAGATCATAAAATTGCAACTTTGAATTCCAGACTTTCATAAATCCTGTCTTCTATCTCATGTCCCATCTCCTATACAAATTGGAAAAAGTGGTTCTTTTTTATTTTTTTTATTTTTTTAAGTGGTTCTTTTTTCATGAGATTATTTCCTATTTGTACAATTCTTTATGCAAAAGCAATTATTTTTAAAAGTATAAGTTGAATCATTATTGGCTTCATATATTAAAATAAATTGAAATATTTAAGTTCTTAGATAGTAATCTCTCTTTTAAATAGAAAGGTTAATACCCAAGTTCTTTTAGATTTCTGGATTTATTTTAGTTAAAATACAACAAAAAATTAAGTTACCAATAAAATGGCATGAAATTGCTGTATAATTTTTATTATAGTAAGATTTTTAATTTTTAAAAATGTCTTCTTGCAAACTAGGTGAAAGTTTACTATAATTAGGTTTTACTGTCATTTAGCTACCAATTTTAAAAGAAAACGTAATTATAACATATAATCCTATAAAATAATATGCAATAGATTTGAAGTCTTTAAAAAATGACTAAATGGCCACTATTTGGCTTTATGTTACATCTAATATCATAAAATCATAATAGCCAAGTGAAAAATAAAGAATACAAGTATTAAGAGTTATATAAAACATTATCATGGAGTAAATGGTTAAACAAGACTGTTGAAATAAATGTCTCAATTTTTTAACCAACAAGTGTTTTAACAGTACAAATTCAAATGACGTACCTATTTGGCATGGCAAAGAGGTGCTCATTTTCTTCTGTGCCAGCTCAGCTTTCAGTGTGCGTAACTCTGAAACTGCTTGTTTTCGCATCTGTGAGGGGCATGACAAAATGAACTTGCCTTACCTCTCTTAGAGTGGATAATGATTTTATGCAAACTAGGTCTTTTATAAAATGCTTTGTTTTCCCTTTTGTCTTCAGCACCTTTATTACCACTGACTACCCCAACTGGTAATCATAGTAGAAAAACTATTAGAGACAGAGACCATAGTCCTGCTTAATAAGCAAGCTTATTAATGCAAGGTATGCTGTCAGATTACTTTGACTATCCGTATATAAAAAACAAACCCCAAGCACACAACCTCCAAGTCCATCCCGACTCATGGTGAGTGACCCTACAGCAATTCTATAGGACAAGCAGAATCGCCATAGGTTTCCAAGGCTGTGTAGCTCTTTATGGAAGCAGACCGACACTTCTTCTTCACACGGAGTGACTTGTGGATGTCAACTCCACAGCTTTTGGTTAGTAGCCAAACATTCTAACCACAGAGCTATAGGACTACTTTTATTCATGTAAAGAAACCATCCAATCAAATTGTTCTAAAAACTTCAGTGAGAAAGAATTTTAATTTTTGTTTACAATCTGGTGTCCTCAATATGTAAAGAAATCAGTAGAAATAATTATAGTATATTAGTAATATTAAATTTCCAAACCTTCGGAAGTGAATGTTTTTAAAGAACATAGTAGTGGCAAGCACGCTTTTAAAACATTACTCCTTTAGATTCCTCCAAAACCCTTACTGAGGTAGATAGGACCATTTTCCCTATTTTACACTTGAAGAAACGGAAACCCGGAGAGTTTAAGCAATGTGTCTAAGTTATAAAACTGGTAAGACAGCCAAGATGCAAACACATGTCATCTGGCACAATAGCGCTTGGTACTCAAATTGATTGGAGTGGGGGTGGGGAGGTGACCAGTAGCATTAGGAAATTATTCAAAATGAAGAACCACGGGCTTCTATCCAGATCTGAATCAAATGCTGCATTTTAATAGGATTCCTAGGTGATAATCATACTGAAGTGTGAGGAGTTTTGGCATCTTCGAGGAACTCTAACTATGTTCATTTGTACTATTCTTTGAGTTTAGGGAACAAAAAGAAATCTAAAGGGACAATATCAGCGCAGTGGTGTGGATAGGGTAAGGTTTGCCAACAAAGTCCTCATAGGACAGCTCTTGGCTAGTCTAGAAAAATGAGTGAGTGCATTGTCCTGTTGGAAAAAATCTTATTCTATGCAACTTTCTTGCCCTATTTCTTTTTTTAATTGTTTTATTAGGGGCTCATACAACTCTTATCACAATCCATACATACATCGATTGTGTAAAGCACATTTGTACATTCATTGCCCTCATCATTCTCAAAACATTTGCTCTCCACTTAAGCCCCTGGCATCAGCTCCTCAT